ATGCTGACGGACGGGAGGGAGTGGGGGAGAGTGAGGGGGTGGGGATGGGGGCCGAGGGGGTGGAGTCGCGGTCCAATCGTTACGCGACTTACTACCGCGTTGGGAGTGGTCGGGGTAAGATCGACATCCACAACTTCTTCGACCTGCAGTACTATGGTCCGGTGACCGATAGCGACGGGCAGAACTTCCAAGTCACGGTGGGTGAAAGACAACGGGAGGGAGGGAGGACAACGGCATCGCGGATGTCACATTGTGTTTTATGGGAGTGATGTATTGCCTCTCTAGTTCGATACGGGGTCTTCGTTCACATGGCTGCCTGGGAGTGGCTGCAAGTCATGCGACCATATCGGTATGTATGTGAGCAGCAGAGCACCACATGAAGCAACAGAGTCCATATGTATTCGCCCTCTCACTTGTCTGTCTTCCCAATCCCTTCCTTCATCAGAGTCGTCTGCGTCGGCCGATGGCGACCCTTCGATCACCGACAAGGGCACCTGTCAGGACTGTGCGGGGCCACACAGACTCAGATACTGCGGCAAGGTATGCACACCTGCACCCAATCCACATCACACGCTCGTGTGTATGTGGGCATGGTCGTTGGTTCGCCCAGAGTCTGGATCGGTCGCTGCTGCTGACCTACGGCAAGGGAAGCGCGTACGGCGTCCTGTGCGAGCGGGACTTCACCCTCGGAGGCCTGACTGTCCACGGGCAGCCGTACGTCTACGTCACAGAGACCGACACTGCCATGAGCTACCTATCCCAGGCGGTAAGATGGATAGCTCAAGAGCAGAGTGCGCCGAGGTCGACGTGGTGTTGACGGGTATGCGACCGACTGTGTGGTTGGGCTGGGCAGGAGGGCATTGTGGGGATGGGCTTCTCGACGCTGTCTGAGAACATCCAGACGGGTACGCACCCACACACATACATACACACACGACCATTTGTGAAGCAGCCGGATAAGTCTCCCGCCTGTCGCCCCTGTGTGCAGTGATGGAGAGCCTGGTCGCGGAGGACGTCCTCAGCGTACCCCAATTCACATTTGTCCTCACCGAGAACGGCAGACATGGATCTCAGGTAACACCACACACACACATACACAAGCGCGGAGGACACACACACGCAACCACACCATACGTACGTATCTGGTGCTGCATGCCCAGCTGATCCTCGGCGACACCCCATGGGATGAGGACTTCATCTACAGCGCTCCCGTGGTGCAGCCGTCATACTGGACAGTCCAGTTCACGTCCGTCTCGGTGCTGCCGCCCATTCCCTCATCACACGACTCATCTTTCACCACTGTCGAGCCCAGCAGCGCGCCCGACGGCGGCTATGGCTATGGGGTCTCCAACACGGACCCTGTAATCGCCACGTCGCGGCGGCTGGGCGACAGGGATGGTGCTGGCGATGGTGGTGGTGATGTGAATGTTACGGATGAGGCGGGCAAGGTGCTGCCGATCAGCTCGCTGGGCATCATCGACACGGGTTCTTCTCTCATCTACACGCCGGATGACCCCACCACCTATATCCTGCTGCTCAAGGAGCTGCAGCCCGATCTCAAGGAGCTGAAGCGGGCACAGTGCAGCCACGTGGACCCCGACTCGCCGAGTGTGGGTGTGGTGCAGTGCCTGTGCAATCACGTGCACAAGTGGAAGCGGCTCAGCTGGGACGTCGGCAACGTGCACTTCGACATAGGACCGGCGGAGTATTTCATCCCCGGCCTGTCGGAGAACCCCTTCATGTGCACCTTCGCCATCCAGCCTGGCTCAGGGCTGGATGGCAACGCCTGGCTCATCGGTGCGCTACACACCACACACGCCTAACGACCAACACAACAACCGTGCACCGTCCCCCTGTATATGTCATCCATCTCTCTGTGCAGGTGATGCATTCCTCAAGAAGTGGGCGGCCACATTCCGTCTGGCCCCCAAGCCAACGGTGGGCTTCTCCGGGGTGTACCGCGGCGGCCCCTGCAGCCGGGCCGAGTACGTGGGCAAAGGCCCCTGCACGGGAGCGCCTCCCCTCTTCCCCGAGCCGTTCGACCCCATGGCTGGCGACGATGACCACTGGCTGCAGCGGTGGAGCATCGTTTGGGGCGGCGTGGGGGTGGTGCTGTTCGGCGTGGTCGTCACCTGGTTCGGGTGGACACCATCGTGCCCCAAGCGGAGGAAGACCACCGCGGAGCACACAGAGGAGGAGCTAGCATCGTCTCACGAGGACCAGCAGCGACAGGCGAGGGTGATGCGGCTGTGTGAGGCCGCCAACCAGGCAGCCAACCATGGCCGCGACCACGAACCACCCAGCGGCAGCAGCAACAGCCACCGCCCCAGCCCACGGAGCTCCCAGAAGGGCGGGAGGCTGTTCGCGATGCTGCGGTCTCTGCGGACGAGCAGCTCCCTCGACGAGGAGGAGGGGCAGTCAGGCCGGCGGGAGGGCTGAGGGTGAAGGGTCGGCCTCGGCTGCATCGTCGTCAACGCTTGAGGGGACGGCATCAGAACGGCCGGATGTGTCGCCGGATCAGCATCGGCCGGTTGCCGATGTGGGCCGGTGACTCGGGCGGCTGGAGGGCAGAGGGCAGAGGGCAGAGGGCTCGCTAGGTGGCTGGGTGGATGGCACGGCTTTCTTTTTCTTTAAGACTCGGCGTTTCAGTCGCTTCGGTTGGGTCGGTTCCTTACTTAACGCGGTGAGGGGCCTCCCTTTGTCGTCTCGTCTGTGTGTGTGGTGGTGTGGTGTGCGGATGTGTGTGATGTCGTGGGGGTTGGCATAAGGGAGAAACGGGGCTGGGGGGTGGGGTGGGTTGGTGGGTGTGAAGTGATAGTTTCGGTCGGTCAGTTGTGTGAAGAATTAGTCGACGCGTGTGTGCCTGGTGCGTGCCGTGCAAGCACGCCTGGTTTTTCACTCTTGGCTGGCTCTTGTTAGAATGGCCAGCCAGGAGGGAGGCTGTGTGGTGTAGGCGCCCCGCCCCATTTCCTCCGTCCCTCCCTCTCTCCCTCGCTCCCCACCTCGTGTGTGTTGTGTTGTGTTTGTTTGCGGCCGGCCGTGATATATGCGCCCGCCAGCCTGCCTGCTTTGATGCCCCTTGATGCTTGGTGCCTTTTGTGAGATCTTTAGTTGCCCGTGTGTGTGTGTGTGCGTACTTACTTTGTACGTACGGGTACGCGTTCGTTGTACGGGTAAGTACAGTGTGAGTGGCTTCCTGGACGGACGGACAGATGGACATATACCGCCTCCTTACGTGCTCCCTGCCTGCCTGCCTTGCTCCCTCGTAATGATATTTGTGTGGCTTCGATCTACCTATGGCTGTCTGTCTTGACGATGATCCTCATGTTTTATGCGATGCGATGCGGTGCGATGGTATGCCGAGCGTGCACACGATCCACACGCACTCAACCCAGCGAGCCCAGCTATCACCTGCCTGCATGTGATGTGTGCTCGAGTGCCGTCCCGTGCCGTGCCGCCAAGTGCATGGTGTTCCATACCTCCGTGTGTGCGTGTGCGTGCCTTTTTCCGCTATTACATCCATCCATCATGCATCGATCGATCCTCCTGCTGTGCGTGCTGCGTGCTGTGCATTTATTAAGCATGGACGACACAATGCAACACGTGAGAGGTGGTGGGTGGGTGACGGGCGGGCGG